TGGCCGCTGAGCTGCAGCTTGCGGAAGGTCTCCTCGTACTGGGGCAGCTCCACGTAGGAAATGAGCCACTGCACCACCTCGTCCACCGTCCAGTTGTACACTGCAGAGAGCACAGCAGGCCCACAGCTCATCCGGGGTGCACGAGGTACCAGGGAGTCCCAGCTTCGGGTGGGGAGGGACCCAGAGCCCACCCAGGGCCACTCCTGCCACACCTCCCACTGTCCCAGGTGCTCCAGCCCCAGTGTCCAACCTGGCCCTGGGCACTGCCAGGGATCCAGGGGCAGCCCCAGCTGCTCTGGGAATTCCATCCCAGCCCTGCCCACCCTGCCAGGGAACAATTCCCAATTCCCAATCTCCCACCCAGCCCTGCCCTCTGGCAGTGGGACACTCCAGGCAGCCCTGCAGGACCTCAGCCTCCCCCTCGTGGGACCATTTTTGCCCAGACTAGGGAACTCCTGAGGTTCTGCTGCCCCTGAGCCCCCACAGACCCCACATGGCACGGGAACACCTGCCTGGAGCTTTCCCTGTGACAACACACCCCTCTCCCAGGGCTGTTTGCCCCTGTGCTCCCAGTTCCCCAAATTAAAACATGCAACGAGGCCATCAGATAGAGGAGCAGAGAAGGCTCCACCTCTGGCCATGGCACCAGCAGGGCTCGGGCAGGGCAGCCTGGCAGGGCCAACACCCAAAGCAGTGCAGGTGACAGCTGGGATCCCTGGGATTTCTATCAGCCAGCTGATCCTGCTGCCTCCATACTCCCAACAGGGAATGCTCATCCTCAGCACATGCCCAAAGGTCCTGGATTCTGAGGGCAGCCCCCAGATCCTCACCCCCTGCTCCAGACCCATGGCACAGGGTGCCCAGAGCAGCTGGGGCTGCCCTGGATCCCTGGCAGTGCCCAAGGCCAGGCTGGACACTGGGGCTGGAGCAGCCTGGCACAGTGGGAGGTGTCCCTGCCATGGCAGGGGTGGCACTGGGTGGGCTCTGAGGTCCCTCCCAACCCAAACCAGTCTGGGATTCTGGGATTCCCTCTGAGCTCTGACTAAGAAAAGCACATAGGGAGAAATGCCGGGAAAAACCATCGGAAGCAGCTTGGGAAAGGATCTGTGGGAGGAGGTGGAGCAGGAGCTGCAGCCCCAGTGAACCAGGTGAACTTTGCTCCTTAACCTCCTCCCCTGGGCACCTGTGGATTATTTTTGGAGCTGTCATGCAGTTCCAGAGCCATAAATTATGAAACCTTAGGAAATCACACTCCTGCCTTTGCCACTTTGTTGTGCTGTACTTACAGCAATGCTCTGAAGGCAAACACAGTCCCAGAATCCCAGACTGGTTTGGGTTGGGAGGGACCCTAAATCCCACCCAGTGCCACCCCTGCCATGGCAGGGACACCTCCCACTGTCCCAGGCTGCTCCAGCCCCAGTGTCCAGCCTAGCCTGGGACACCTCAGATGTGTTTATTGGTCAGGGGCTTTGTTACACTTGAATTTATCATCCCCTGGCCCTGTCCTGCTGCAATGCCCACCCTGACTGGGCCCACGAGCACAGAAACATCTTCCCAAGCTCTAGGCAGCCCAATGCCTCCCACGGGGAGCTGAGGGTGAGGGAGAGGAGGGATGGGTGACCTGGGAGAGATGAGGGAGCTGGGGGACGTGAGGAAGCTGAGAGAGATCAGGGAGATGGAGCTGATAAATGAGATGGGAGATCTGGGAGAGATGAGTGAGATGGAGCTCAGAGAAATGAGAGGAGAGATCTGGGTGAGATGAGGGAGATGGAGCTCAGGAAATGAGATGGGAGATCTGGGAGAGATGAAGGAGATGGAGCTCAGGAAATGAGATGGGAGATCTGGGAGAGATGAAGGAGATGGAGCTGTGACAGATGGGGGAGATGAGAGCGATGGGTGAGCTCAGAGAGCTGACTGAGCTGATGAAGTGGAGAAAGATGAAGATGAGGAAGCTGAGGGAGCTCACAAACCTGAGGGAGCTGAGAGAAATGAGGGAGGTGGAGCTCAGAGAAATGACAGATGAGGGATCTGGCAGGGATGAGGATCTGGCAGGGATCAGTGAGCTCAGGGATGGAGCTCAGAGCTAACTGAGTGGATGAAGCTGAGGGAGATGAGGGAGCAGAGGCAGAGCCCAGCTCCGAGCAAGGACAGCAAGGCCCCAGAGGAAGGTGCCATCCATCCCCAGGACGCTGGCACGGTGACCCAGCTGCAGGCTGGCACAGATGAGGCCACCAGCCTGCCCTGGCTGCGGGGAGCTCCGCAGTCCTGCTCGTGCCCCACACCCTGGGGGACTCCTGTGGCTGCGGGCACCAGCGGGATGCCACGATGGAAGGGTGGGAGAAGCCTCGGGCCCTGCGTGCTGGCACCACCAGCACCGTGCCACAGGGCGTGTGCCACGTGCCCAGCCAGCAGCACTGCTGGCCCTGACTCTCCCCGAGCCCATGGCTGCTCTCACTTCCACATGCAGCCGTGCTTGTCGTGGGAAGAAGTCCCTGAGAACCACAGGCACCGAGATGAGCAGGGCCCTGCCCTGCCTCCTCAGCCCAAGGGCTGATCTGGCACTGCTTCCACGGCTCTGGCAGGGCCAGGCTCGCCCAGGTGCCATCCCTCAGACCCAGCACCTTGTAACAGCATCACAGCCTTTAAATTCTGTCAGAATTAAAGGGCAGAAATATCTTTCTCCTTTCCACGTGTGACCAGGGACAGCAGCAATGGAAGGGACGAAGAGCAATGGCTTGGAAACAAATGACACAGGCCCAGGCACACGATCCCTGTGGGATGGCAGTGCCCTTCACACCACAGGAAGGAGCAGACCTTTCCTACAAGCCTGATTCACCACTTCAGCTCAAACTCCAAAACTAGGCTTCAAATTTCCCTGGAAGTGTTCCAGGCCAGGCTGGACACTGGGGCTGGAGCAGCCTGGCACAGTGGGAGCTGTCCCTGCTGGCAGGGGTGGCACTGGGTGGGCTCTGAGGTCCCTCCAACCCAAACTCCTGTGGTTCCATGACATCAGAGCCCCCTTCAGAAAGCAGTCACTTATTCTATCAGCCAGATCCACAAGATGATGAAAGGGAAAACAAGAGCAGGAGTCAGTCCAGCACTGTGCCACGGCAGCCCTGCCAGGGACATGGATGTCCCTGGTGTGCCAGGGGCAGGGACAGAGCCAGGATAGCTCAGTAATTAGGAGGCCTGGCAAGTATCAGGGCATGTCCTCCTCCATCCCCTAATGATTTCTACCCTTTCCCAGCTGACAGCAGAATACACTCCAGGCAAAGCCCTGTGTAAACAGCCCTGCAATGGGGTAAATATTTCTTACACAAAGCACTCCTTGCACACAGGAGGCAAAGGGACTCAGAGTCATGGAATCACTGAGGCTGGAAAATCCCTCTGAGCCCACAGACTCCAACCATCCCCAGCACTGACCGTGTTCCCCAGTGCCACATCCACAGAGCTCTGACATCCCCCCAGGATGTGTTTCCATCCCTGTCCTGGGCAATTGTGTCACTTCTAAAGTGATCTGGACAAGAATTTTCAACACATCCTTGTCCAGCTCCATGGGAGAGCGTCTGGTCTGGGATACACAGCTCTGGAATCATGACATGGATATCACAGAGACTGCTTTGGGTTGGGAGGGACCCAGAGCCCACCCAGTGCCACCCCAGCCATGGCAGGGACACCTCCCACTGTCCCAGGCTGCTCCAGCCCCAGTGTCCAACCTGGCCTTGGGCACTGCCAGGGATCCAGGGGAATCTGGGAATTCCATCCCAGCCCTGCCCACCCTGCCAGGGAACAATTCCCAATTCCCAATCTCCCACCCAGCCCTGCCCTCTGGCAGTGGGAGCCATTCCCTGGCTCCTGTCCCTCCATCCTTGTCCCCAGTCCCTCTGCAGCTCTCCTGGAGCCCTGCCAGGGCTCTGAGCTCTGCCTGGAGCCCTCTCTCCTCATGCACAGCCCCACTGTTTCCAGTCCTGGCTGCAAATGCTGCTCTCAGTGTCCACTCAGTGCCCCTGGGACTGGGGACTGCTGCACTCCCTGAAGCTGCACCCACAGCTCTGGGAACACAGAGCACACCCCACCAGAGGAACTGAAGGATTAATACAGCAAAGTCAAATACAAACAGGACACAAGTGAGAAAATGAAACTGCTATGGCTGTGAACTGATTAGAAGATTAATATCCAGTATCTCAAGGAGTGGAAGTAGGTAGTACTCCTCTTTTAGAGCTGAGGAGCACTGAAATGAATTGGATTAATAATTTCAGTGGAACTACCACAGAACTTTTCACACAGAAAGCACTGGGGAAGCACTTGCCAATCTGAAAAGTTTGTTTCAAGATTCCCAAGTTTCAGGAAGTTTCTCAGCAGAGGCTGAACTGCCACCACCTCCCTGGGTGCTGGGATGAATAACAGCATTTTGGAACAGCTACAAGTTATTTCTATATGGACTGGACTTATGTCACTTCCTGCATTTTACTCTCCCTTCTTTTCAATGTGAAGGAGCTTTTCATGTTCCAAGCGTTTTTCCTAAGGAAAACACAACCTGCAGGAAAGCTCCCAAGCAGCTCTACTGAATATTGAGGATGTTATCACCCCATTACAACTCATCTGGAACCGGGTGCTTGAAGAACCTGGAATTTGGCTGTATTTAACACATTTCTAGGGCAGAGGAACAAAACAAGAACTGATCCTTTGGTGGCCACGCTCAGGTGCAGCAGGAACAGTTTGGAAGGACCAACTCCAAGGAAATCCTGGGAATCCACACCTCCAACAGGGAGCTGGAAGAGTACAAGGCCTGGTCCAAGGGAGGAAAAAAGCACCACATTCCTCCTGAGAGCTGCACACTCTGCCCAGGGCATCTGAAATCCCAACTCTTTGGCACTCTTGGGAAAGGATTTCTTGGCTTTTTGCCCTTTTTTTACCTTCGGATGTTTTCCAGGCCTTCCAGAGATCTTCCACACTGATGAGCTTGTCCTCTCCATGGAAAGTGCTGTGCTTGACTGCTGGGTCATGGTAATTCAAGTCTTCCCTCAAGAACTAGGAGAGGAATTAACAGCAGGATTAACTTTGGTTCATCTTTTAGGGAGATGAGGAGCATAAAAAAAATTCTGAATAGTAAGAATTTTGATAGGGAAGTCGTAATAAATATGAATTAAAACCCATAATGGATATATTAGATATATAAGATAAACACATGTATCTTTTATACAGATATTAAGTATATTCCCTGCAGTACCCCTGAATATTTCTGTTCCTGGGGAGACCAGCTAGGACATATTCAGTAAGTAAATACATTAAATTCATTTTAATACAGAGAAGGGATAATCAATTAGAACCTTTGGTCTTGGGATTCAAGACTTTTCTTTGAATTACAGCAATACCAAAAATTCACCTAAGTGGCACAATGGAACCAGCTTTGTGTCAACGGAGTAAGAACCCAAAAATTATTATTGGATTTGATCTGCACCTTCAAATCCAAGCTGGAACAAATGCCATGGGCAGGAGGGGAGGCAGTTCCACTGAAAAATATAGATAAAGCCATGTATCCTAGCTCAGTGGGAGCCCAGAGCAGCTGGGGCTGCCCTGGATCCCTGGCAGTGCCCAAGTCCAGGCTGGACACTGGGGCTGGAGCAGCCTGGGACAGTGGGAGGTGTCCCTGCCATGGCAGGGGAGGCACTGGGTGGGCTTTGAAATCCCTCCTAAACCAAACCATTCCATGATTCCATGGAAGAGGAGCTGTGAGGTGCTTCCCAACCCAAACCAGGCTGTGAAATCCAGCAGCAGACAGAGAAACACTCACACGCCACGCCCAACAGATGGAACCAAGCTCGAGGATAACTCCACGTTTCCACCCCCAGGACAATCCCCACAGGCAGCTCCATCCTTGGGCTGCTCCCTGTGCAAGAGGCGATACCCAGACGCAGCAAACACCCTCAGGTCTGGAGATGGTGCTTTAACACCAGGCAGGGCACCGAGAAGGTCTGGGCAGCTCCAGATTCCAGCTCCCTGCAGGGCAGCGCAGCTGCTGCCGAGGCAGCTCCAGCCCGGGGCTCTGCCAGAGGGCAGGAAAAGGGCAGGAAAATGGGAGAATTTGGGAACTCTGTGCTTCCAGCAGGGGCTGAGCCTCGGGGCTCCGCTGTGCCGATCCCGAGGGGCGCCGTGCCCCCGTGGGTGCCGCCGTGACCGTGCCAGAGGGCGGCAATGTCACCGGTGTCACCACCGGCAGTGTCACTGGTGTCACCACCGGCGTCACCGGCCCTGCCCCAGCGCCCAGCACGTCAGCTGCTGCTCTGTAAATTTAGCTCGGGAGCAGAGACAGGAAAAGTGATCCCTCAGCTTCCCTCCTCAGCTTCCCTCGGGCTCACGGCACCCAAAACAAACCCGAGGGCTCAGCGGAGGGGACAGGGCTGGGCTGGGGGATGTCCCAAAAAATGAGCAGGGAGGGGATGCAGGATGGGGCTGGGGAGCTGGGCTGGGCCCACCAAAGCCCAGAGACCTTAAAGCACATTTTCCACCAGTACCTTCTGGGGAAAAGACCAAATCACAGAAGCCCAGACTGGTGTGGGTTGGGAAGGACCTTAAAGTCCACCCAGTCCCAGCTCTGCCATGGACAGGGGCACCTTGCACTGTCCCAGGCACAGGAAGCACGGTGCACAGCACTGAGCCACCTGCAAACCACTGAAAGCAGCGCTGCCAAGTGTTAAAGATCCCCCTGACCCCGGGCCTGGAGACACCCAAAGCTCCAAGCCCTGGACAGAGGGAGGACCAGACCATTGCCAAGGTCCCACACAGACCACCTCCAAGGTCCCATCCAGACATCCCAGCCTCAGCCAGGCTGTGAACCCACAAGGAAACTGAGTCAAACCTGAGAATCCACACCAAGTTCAGGGAAAGACAACCCCTGGTCAAACCAGCCAAAAGCAACAGGACCAGAACCACTGCTACAAACCCCAGGAGGAGCTGGGATCAGCTGAGTGGCAACACTCAGCCTGGGAATGCTAATCTTTGAGTTCTGGGGCCTCCAACAGTAGGAGAACCTGGAGCTGCTGGAGAGCCCAGAGGAGGCCCCGGAGCTGCTGCAGGGCTGGAGCCCCTCTGGAGCCAGGCTGGGAGAGCTGGGGGGGCTCACCTGGAGAGGAGAAGCTCCAGGGAGAGCTCAGAGCCCTGCCAGGGCCTGGAGGGGCTCCAGGAGAGCTGCAGAGGGACTGGGGACAAACTTGCTGGCTGAAGGCACACTCAGAAATGAGCAGATCCACAAAATGGGATTTTCTGGAGGATTTATTTCCCATAGAATCACAGAATCTCCTGAGTTGGAAGGGACACAAAAGGATCATCAAGTCCAAGTCCTGGCTCTGCACAGCCCCAGCAATCCCACCTTGTGCCTGAGAGCACTGTCCAACCACTCCCTGAACTCTGTTCTGTGGTGTTTTTATCTGCAGAAGCTCCAGCTACTGAAGTGATTTTTCAAAGCTTCCCATCCCTCCCACATCCCTGGATGTGTGCCACCTCCCTCCCTCCCGCTGCGCCGAGCCACGGCCAGGCCCGGCCCCGTGCCGGGGCTCGCTGAGCTCCCCAGCTTCCCCAGCTGCTCCCAGCCCCACCAGAGGCACAGACAGCTCCTGTCCCCAAGGCTCTCCCTGCCCAGTGACCCAGGCAGCAGGACCTGGCCCTGGGAAGAGGCACAGAGACACTGAGCAGCAACACAAACCATGCTTCCTGAGGAAACCAGGCTGGCAGCATCCCAGCGCCCTGGCACGGGCACCCACACCCCAAAGAGCCGGAGCTGCCTTTGCTGTGAGCATGGAGACAGGAATAGATCCCTCATTAGAAGATTTCCCCATGAGGGACAGTTCTTTCACTTTAATCGAGGCCACTTCATTGAAAATTCACTTCCCAGCAGGAAAACTGCAAGGATGATTTATGGACAGCGTGAAGCTGTAGACAAAACTCCACCCATAATTTATTTTAAAAATACTTGTCTTGTCTTTGTGTCCCCTTCTGCCCAGGCAGGGGTTTCAGTCCAAACGAAATACTCCCATCACTTACCCCCAAAGGGCAGGGGCCAAAATAATAAAGGAAAATATAAAGTTCCAAATCAACCAGGAAAATGCCCACCCCTGGAAGTGTTCCAATCCAAGGCTGGACTGGGCTTAGAGCAACCTGGGATAATAGAAGGTGTCTCTGCCCGTGGCAGGTGGTGGAACTGGATGCGTTTAAAGTCCCTCCCAACCCAGACCATCCTGGAAGTCCATGAACCCCATAAAAGGTTTAAATTTGAGCCTCCTGCATTCTTCCCAATAATCCCCCTGCAGCTGTCCCCCCACAGCTCAGAGTTAAACCTGACTGCAGGGTCCATGTGGGGGAGAGTGATAACCTTGACAGGGAGAACACAGCAGGAGCCAGCTCAGAGAGGGAAATTCCTACAATGCCTCACTGAGTGGTTCCAGAGCTTATTAACAGGTGAACTTAATGCAACTTCAATCAAAGCTTAGCAGAGGTAAAGCAGCAACTGCATGGCTGGAATCCAGGGACAGGGAATCACCGAGGTTGGAAAAGACATCCAAAATCATGGAGTCCAACTGTACAGACAACAGCCTGAGTGCTCTGGCTCAGGGCAATCCCAGCACCAACAGCCTGGGAGAAGGGGCTGGGAGCAGCCCTGGGGAGCAGGAGCTGGGCATTGGTGGGAGAAGCTCCACAGGCCCTGGCCACGAGCACTGGGAGACCTGAAATCCCCGTGCCCTGGGCTGATCCCAGCAGGAAAGGGATTGGGATTGTGCCCCTGTGCCTCACTCAGGCTGGACAGCCCTTTCCAGGAGGAATTCTCCCAATATCCAAGCTGAAATTCCCCTGGTTCAATTAAGGCCTTCCCCTCTCCTCCTGTCCCTGTTCCCCTGGCTGTCCCCTCCTGGCAGGAGCTGTGAGAGCCACAAGGTCCCCCTGAGCCTCCTTTGCTCCAGGCTCAGCCCCTCTTGTGCTCCACATCCTCTTCCAGCCCTGCTGCCCTCCCAGAAGCAGAGCAGAGGTGCTGGGAGCAGGAGCAGCCCTGCCAGGGCTCAGCACTGCTCAGCTCCAGCTCAGAGGAGTTTGGGGAGTGGCTGTAAGAGCACCAAGGCAGTGATTTGGGGCTGTTGGAAAAACCCATGGAATACCCCACCCTGGCAGTGTCTCTGTGCCAAAGCTCTCAGCACACGTTCCCAGCAGTGTTTTGCACCAGGAGCTCTCAATGACTCCAGTGTGAGTGGGGGCAAGATTTGCTCAGAGACACAAAATTGCCAGCTCTGCCCAGCCCTAAGGACAAGAGGCTTATTCCTCATTTAATGCCAGGGAGCAGCACACTTGGGCTGAACTGGGCTGCCCCAGTTCCTGGGAAGAGGCTGAGCTGCAGCTCCAGCCAGTGCAGGGAGCTGCCTCCAGGGAAACACCTCCAGTGGTGGAGGAAATGCAACTGGAAGCTTTTCAATTGTTTTCATTACTCAGTCAAGTGGCACTGAGGCAGAGGGAACAGCCCTGCGAGCTGGGAACAGCCACCCAAAACCAGCAGCTCCTGGCAGCAGGGGCCTGTGCTGAGTCCCTGGGGACTGTCACTGCTCCAGAGGGACACTGCTGGATTTGGAACAGCAGCTGTGGCTGCCCCTGGATCCCTGGCAGTGCCCAGGGCCAGGCTGGACACTGGGGCTGGAGCAGCCTGGCACAGTGGGAGGTGTCCCTGCCATGGCAGGGGTGGCACTGGGTGGGATTTGAGGTCTCTTCCAGCCAAACCAGGCTGGGGTTCTGTGACCTGGGACTGCAGAGCTACCCATGAGTGGCAACACCCACATGCTTCCTCCCAGCTTCCAACACTCTGACTTTCCTGTTTAGCTGCCAGTTCTCCATAGAAGACAGAATTCCTCACTTCCAACGAGCACCCACCACAACTGAGGCAACACTGCAAACAAAGAGCTTTCCCTTTTCCAGCAGACTCTTATTTCCAGCCCTGCTTGTGTAAACAAATAACAACTTTCTTTCTCTTCAATCCTTTATCAGCTAAAGTGTCCAAGCTGACACAACAGAAAGCTGCTCCTTTTTCTGCAGTGAGCATACAGATTGAAACTGCTTTACTTGGCTGGTGGAAGAATGCAGTAAACATAAAATCATGGAATGATTTGGCTTAGGAGGGACATTAAAGCTCATTTAATCCCACCACCTGCCACTATCCCAGGTTGCTCCAAGCCTCATCCAACCTGGCCTTGGGCACTGCCAGGGATGGAGCAGCCACAGCTGCTCTGAGAACAGTGAAGTGGCTCCAAACCCTCAGCAGTGAGGAGAAGCCCCAGGCAGCACTGGTGACAGTGCTGAGACACCACAAGGTGACACATGGCTTCCTCTATGCTGAGGAGGAGGCACCAAGCCCAACTGCAGCCCCAGCCACAGCAGCCTGACTGTGAGAGCAGCCCCAGCACCGGGCTGGACAAGGCCCTGCTGATACCTTGGCTTTTAAGAGTCTCTGTTCTGTTTTGGTGTGTGCAGCTTTTAGTTTTATATTAAGTGTTACTAGGATCTTTTCACAGCGTGGGGAAGACAAAACAATCCTATTCTAGCTGGAGACTCAAGGACAATCTCTTCAAACCTCAGCCCCAAAGCTCAAACAACGTGAAAAGAGGAGGACAGGCAAGCGAGCAAGGAGGATGAAACTTCATCATTCGAAGCTATTAACTGGCGAGTTGACTCCTGTATGCAAATGGACTAATAAAAATGTGAGATCTCCCGACCAAGCCCTTTTGCCCATGTTGGAGCCATCTGCGCAGAGCCAGGACTGTGGCTCTGGTGCTGCCCTTCAACAGATATCCTCTTTCTTCCTCCCAGCTCCATCCAGCTCCGTTCCAGCAGCTCAAGGCCCCGCACTGACCTCGTCGCTCTCCTCCACGTCCACGTTGCCGTTGGCGTCGTCGTCCATCTGCTTGTGGATGTTGCGCACGGCCTCGAAGCTGAGCTGCTCGTCCTCGTCGTGGCACAGCGCCTTGTCGATGCGGCAGAACTCTGCTGGGGAGAACAGCAGCACGTCAGGATGAGCACC